TCAGGGGATATTGGGGGGATTCCAGAGATGATATTTCTTTGGGGATGCCTGGTAGCAGCTGCCAGCTGAGCCCTCATGGCTGGCAAAGGATGTGGAATCCCTGGAGCCACGTGGCGATCAGTACCAGGATGGGGGGGCCGGGAACACCATTTCTGGGGACAGCCAGGGCTGGGGGGAAGCCAGAACCACTGGAGAGGGGAAAACAGAGAGAGGCAACACTGGAACTGAAGGACTCCTGACAACCCAGAGAGGGGCAAATGTCAGTGAGGGGTAATCTGGGAGAAGGAGAGATCCTGGAGAGGGCTGAACCCAGGGATTCCAGGACCCACAGAAGTCTTGAGAGTGAGGGATTCTGGGACAGGGGGATCCCCAGGACCTCCAGCAGTCTTGAAAGTGGGGAACCATGGAGATGGGGATCCCCCTGTATGATACACGAGACCCCCAGCAGGCTGGACAGAGGGAAACCAAAGAGAAGAGTCCAGAGAGAGGCACCCAGGCAGATGGGGAGGAAGTCACTGCCCCTTTCCCTCTTTCCTGCTCCATCTCCCAGCCCAGCATTGCCCCCAGCTACTGGACAACCCTGCTGGCAACACCATCCTGCTGGGGATGGATTTGGGGAATCTCCTTCCCCTTCCCTCTGAAATGGAGGCAAATCCCATCCTCTCCTTGTCCTCCCTCCCTCCCTCCCTGACAGAGTCCAGGGAGGACAAATCCCTGCATCAGAACCTTGTGGAAGAGACCATTTTGAGTGACTCCACATCATGGGAATCCAATGGGGAGGAAAAGCTCCAGAGATATCCCACGAGGAAGGTTCCAAACACAGCCCAGGGAACTCCAAGGAGGAAATACCCACCCTTTGTCAAGAAGGTGGCTAAAGCTTCATCTGGAGCTCTGATCGGTCATCCTTGAGTGGTTTCACCACTGGGGAGGTGCTTGGAGTGTGAGAAGAGCTTCAGATGGAGCTGCTACCTGATCCTGTACCAGATGATCCATAGAGGCAATGGCCCTAGAAGTGTTTAGAATGTGGGAAGAGCTCCAGCCAGAGCTCCTGTCTGATTCACCATCAGATAAAATTCACACAGGGGAATGGTCCTACAGGTGTAGGAAATGTTGGAAGAGCTTCAGTGACTGCTCCAACCTCACCAGCACCTGCACTCCAGGGAATGGCCCCTCAGGTCTGGAGAGTGCAATAAGAACTTCAGCCAGAGCTCCCACTTGACTTGCCACCAGAATATCAACACTAGGGAACAGCCCTAGGAGTGTACTGACTGTGGGAAAAGCTTTACTCAGAGCCCTGCCTTAACCTTTGGTGAATGGATTCACCAGAAAGGAAACCCCTATGAATGTCCCAAGTGTGGGAAGAGCTTCATCTGCTGTTCCAACTCCATCCCCCATTGTAGGACCAGTGTTGGATGATCCACAGTGAGGCCATTAGGCAGAGACCTAGTGACCCATGTTCCTGGTGATATGGGGCAGTGTATGGAGTTTGTGTGGTCAGGTTTTGGAAACGGGGGTGCTCCAGGGGTGGCTTCTATGGGCAGCCTCCTGAACCTTCTCCCATGTCTGGCTCCTGTTCTGATCCACTCCTGAAGACAAGGGTAACCCAGGTTCTGGCTAATGGATCCCCTGGGACAGATTACAGCAAAACAACAGTGATTGATAAACAGTGTTTATAAATATATCTCTGATAGGTTTATTTTAGTATTTTAGAACAATTTGTTTGCTGTGTAAAGCAGCTTTGGAACGCTTTTGGCTATCATCTCTAGCAATATAAAGCATTAAAATAACATTTATGAAAACTTACAAGGGAAAAGAAAGAAAGTGTAACAGTAGAAAGATACACAGTCACCAGCCCTGAATCCAGCAACAAAATTAGATTGTTGCAATGCCTTGTGCTTGGTTGAAGTGATGGTCCCAGGTTGGATCCCTCGGGGGTTGGGGAAGCCCCAGAAACACCAAGTTCCTTGGGTTAATACAGGTTCAGGTACCTCCCCTGGGAGTGGGGGGTGGGGGTGGGGGGGGTGTGGAGTTCTACACTGTCACACTGTGAATCCCGGGGCACTTTTGGGGTCTCTAATGGTTCATGGCCCCCTCTAAGATGTGGCCCTGCCTCTCTTGGAAGCCCAGATGAGCCAGGTATGGCCCATGCAAAGGGATGAAAACTCCAGCCCTCTGTGTGAGTGGCCTGCATCTTTCCCAGGGGAATTTCCAGAGCTGAGCCAGTTGTGTAAGAGAGGGCATTGCCCTGGTCCAAACCCTATCCACCAAGCAGCATCTACTTCTGACCAGCCTCCCAGCTGATCTCCCCTGGCTCCCAGCCCGGATTGTCCCCTCCAGGGCTTGGTGTTCACCCCCTCTGCCCCTGGGTGCTTCCTGTGGCCAGCAAAAACCATGCTGCTTTTGCCAATGGCCAGTGGTTTGAGCCATTAACCTCAACTATTTCAGTCCCTCAGAGCTCTGCACCCCAAAAGCTGAGAGGGATTGATGGTGCCTCAAAACAACTCCATCACACTGAAAATGGCTTGATTTAACCTCAAAACAACTCAATCCCTCCTCAAAATTATGGGGTATCCCTTGTGCTCAAATTGCTCCCAATTGTATACATTCCTGTCCATGAACTTCACCCAGTTGTTGCCATCTAGGAAGTGACAGTGGGCTTTTCTCTGAAAATGGAACACACAAAAATTTGTGTGGGAAAGGAGACAGGTGAGGCGGTGCCTCTCTTCACCCCACAAGAGCTCCCAGCACACCACAGCAGGTTGGGGGCTCAAGGGACCACCCTGGATCCCTCATTCCCACCACCCCTCTGCCCCACACCCACCAGAGCACTGGCTGCTGGGTGGGGGGCACCCCAACTGTGAGCCCTCCAGGGAGGTACAGGGGGGTTTGGGGACTCCCCAGCAAGGTTCTGCATACCTCCTGTCGCTGTTGGACACAAAATAAGTCGCACAGATGCAACTCAAGGCGGGATGAAGGAAAGAGAAACTTTGTTTCTTCTCTCAGAATTTATAGGTTTCTGACCATGGCCAGAGATTGGATAGCCAGGACAACACTTTCCCAACAGCACTGGCTGTGAGAGATGTCCATCAAAAGGCGTGTATCAGAAAGAATGTACACGTATCTATGTTTACAGTTACTGTCCTGGGAAAGTCGTTAGAAACTGTCAACAAGCTCAAAAAGCTGAGTTTTCAGGGCGACAACCTCCCTCCCCCCCCACCCTGAGAGCCCCAGGTTACAGCTCAAGAGATCAAGTGACGAGGAAACAAAAGGACTCCCAGGAGAACCCCTTTGCCACTGTCCTCCTTCCCCTTACCCCCCTCTCAAACACCTTTCCCCTCTTCCCTGTGCCACTCCCCCCTCTCACACAAGAGCTCCTCACCCACAGCCAGGAGGGCTCCCAACACCAGAGTGGAGCGACATGCAGGCAACTCTGACTCACAGGCTCCCCATTCCCCGGATTCTGCCCCCTCCTATCACAGTACCCCCGCAGGGTATCCAGATCCCTCACTACAGGCCCCCAATAAATGGGACCGGGGACTGTTGAATCCAAAATAAAAGCCTCTCTGAGCTCCTCAGAGAGAAAATAATTAAAATATATTAAACTATAGATACAGAGTAAAAGTGTATGTTTTAGTTGTAAGTAAAATATAGCTTAAGTGCCCTAAGAGTCTGTGTTATCTAGTGAAAAGCCTTATTACCCAGATTAAAGTTCAGTGATAATACCCTTCATAGATTCAGCTTAGCTCTAGACATAATGAAAATATAGTTTACATTCTTAGATAAGAACAGATAGGATCATTTAAGTAAACAGATAATACCCTATACATAAAATTTAGGTAAAAAGAACATTGCTTTCTCATGTTAGAATTAAGTTCAGATTGGTGTAGAAAGTATTGTTTTAGTAGCATGTTTTTAGCTGATTGGATGATTTATGAATTTAATTCCCTGTATTGGGGATTGAAAAAAAACATCCAAAGAAGAACAGCAGCACCATGACCATCACCAACTGCTTTTGCGGCCCAGGACAACAGAATTCCACGCCGAGAAGCTGTTACCCCTGTCCTGGTTTAGGGCAAATTTGGGAGAAAACCTCCAGTGGGGCCCCCCCCGGGAAGCAAACCCACGTGGCCCCTTTCTCCCACCCCCCAACCGGTTCGGGAAGAGATTTCTCTGAGAGAAGTGGAAAAAACCTGTTTATTTCACAGGCACAGCACTACCCAGCACAAAAATGAACAATATCACATTACAAAACCTCTCGCCCTTCAGAAGAGATGACAAACTTCAGAGGGTCTCTTTCCTGTGGGTGTTTGCTCTGTTATCAGTCCCTCTGGTGCTGGAAAATGCCGCTGCCCAGGTTGGGCTCCCGGTAGTCCACGGGTGCAAGCTCCCGGTGCTCCCCCGAGTCCCCAGTTCAGAGCAGGTTCGATTCATTTCAGAAAAAGGGAAAGAAAACAGCCCAGGAAGACCTCTCTGCTCCGGCTAGTTGGAAAGCCAAGGCGATCTGTGTCTTGTTGTCTGTCTGTGCTGTAGTCAAAACTCCCGATGCGGGGGGAGCAAGTACAGTCTCTGATAACAGACTTGGTGCTTCTTTTCCACTCACTTTTACTCTGAGATTAAATTTTAAGAATACAAAACCTGTGTCTGGCTTAGGTGGATGAATGGGGATACAATTTAACATCATAATCAACCCAGGACAACTCTGAACATCAGGACCTTATACCAGAGAGCTGCTGCTCAGAACTCAGGACTTTATGCCAAAAGCTTTTAGCAAAGACTTCAACTCTCTGAACTCTTTGCCTTTGAGACTGATGCTTTTATACAATAAAAACCTATCTAGCAGCCATCAACTGCTCGTGTCTCTTTGAGACCTAGAAATATTTCTGGAATCCCCACTGAAGCTGCAACAACGGGGAACTGTGAAGCTTTATTGGGAACACTGGGAGCAGCTGGGCAATGGCAGAGTGACATCAGGGCTGGGGGGACACACAACCCCCCCAAAATCATTGGGGGATGGAGAAGGGGGTCCTGGCTGGGCCCAAGGCCACAAAGAGGGGCTGTGGCTGCCAGCAGCTCAGGAGCTCTGTGGGCAGAGAAAAGAAGATGACACCAGGCTGGGGCCCACAGGGGGAGGGCGGGCACGACCCCTGGGACCCCCCCTCACCTTCTTGTGCAGGTAGAAGCTGAGCCCCAGCATCAGGAAGACGAAGCCCAACATAAAGCCCCCAATCCCTGTTATCATCTTGCTGCAGGTGGTGTTTGGCAGCATCTCTATGGAGTCCACAGGGGTCAGGACCACCAAAAACCCCTCACAGACATGCCAAGACCCTCCAAGCAGCCTGGCACCCCTCCAGCCCACCCAAGACCCAGTAAGACCCCTTTTCAAGCCCCATCTAAACTCCCTAGTACCATTCAATTCCCCTCCCTGTCCCTCCAGGACCCCAAACCCCCTCCCAGTTGACACCCATCCCCCAATGATCCCCCAAACCTTTCCCCAGTCCCTTCCCAGTCCCACCAGGACTCACCAGCATCACTGCCAGTAGATCAAAGCACACTCAACTTCCCTCCCAGCTCCACTTTTACATCAGCCTACCTCCAGCCCCTCCAGCTCCAGCATGCTCCCTTCTAGTTCCACCCAGCTGCACTGGAACCCCAGTTCCCTCCCAGCAGTCCCCAGGAAACCCCTAATTGCATCCCAGTCTTCCCAGCATCCTCCAAACCTCTTCTCTGCCCTCCCAGACCATCCAAACCCTTCTCCCAGTTGCTCCCTGGCTCCCTCAAACTCCCTCCCAATCACTCCTGGTTACTATCAGCTCTCCTCCCAGTCCCCCTGGTCTCTCTCCCCCGTGACCCGGTGCTGTGGGGGCCAGGCCATACCCCAGTGCTGGCTTAGGGGCTCCTCCAGGCTGACGTGCTCCACCTGGCAGCTGTAGCTGACCCCGCGCTGGGGGGCGGTTTCCAGCAGCACCAGGAGCTGGTAGGTCCAGTCCCCGTTGGGGACCACATCAGTGGCCATCACGTGTCCCGAGAGCTCCTGCTGGCCCTGGAACCACCTCACCTGGATCTTGGCAGGGTAGAAATCCATCACTGAGCAGAGCAGGTGGCTGGTGCCAGGGTGGGAGCTCGAGGGCACCAGGGAGATGGACACGCTGGGGGGCACTAGGAGAGAGTGGGGACACGCTGGGATGAGATATTGGTAAAATAGGACACACAGGGAAGGGCTCGGCTTACATTGAGAGGGACTGGGGAGGGATTGGGAGGGCACTGAAAGAGATGAGACTGGATTGGGAGCCACTGGGAGAGCACTTGGGAGAGAGGATGGAAGTCTGGTAGTGGGCCGAGAAGGAGACCGAGTCCAGCGCGGAGCCTCGGCTCTGCGGATCTGCCTGGCAACTGATGAGTCATCAGGGCAACGTGCTCTGATTGGCTGAGGGGCTTCAGCGCCACTAAGGCCGAAATGGACACGCGGGGGCGGGGGGAGCACTGAGAGAGACTGGGATGGACTGGGAGAGATAGGGAGAACTCCGGTACACTGCGGGGAAGGCAAGAGGCCACGGGCATGGGCACAAGGAGAGGGGAGAGGTCTGGGGTGATTCCCAGGGAAGTTTTGCGAGGCTCCAGGGTCATTCCCAGGGCAGGGCCCGAGGAAACACGCTCTGCCCCACGCTCACCTCTGCGCTCCACGAGGAACGGGGTGGACAACTCGTAGTTGTGCCGGCAGTGCCTGTCCACCGCATCCCGTCTGTACTCCATCCATTCCTGGTCACTGTTCCAATACCTGGCAACCTTCTCCCCAAAGGAGGTGTCCCCCACAAACAGCCCCACATCGCTGTCGAAATGCAGGAACTGCTCCCGGTTGTAGATAAACCTCTTCACGAACCTCACGCGGTCGGTGCCGTTAATGAAGTGACACTCGGACTTAACCATCTCCAGAAGCACGCCTGTATGTGCAGGACAAAGGTCAGGGGGTGCCCCGCCAGCAGCCCCCAGGACCCCACAGTAGCCAAGAGCTCAGAGGGCCACCCCGGATCCCCATTCTGCACCCCTTGTGCCTCACGTGTCACCCCTTGTAGGACCCTTCTTCCCGCGGTCCCACTTCCTCTTTTCCATCCTTCTCTGTATTTTCCTTCCTCTTTCCCACAACTCCTCAGTCGCCAGCACCATCCTTCACATCAGTTTGAGGGTTCCACCTCACCCTTTTCCCTCCATGCCCCATCGTTACTATCCTCCCAGCACTTCTTTCCCACCCCTCCCGCTCACCCGAGAGCTCCGCGCCCGCAGCCGAGGAGGCTCCCAGCACCACCTGAGCCACCAGTAGGGCCCCAGCTGCTGCCACACGCCCCATGCCCAGCGCCGGACAGGTTCTGACACCTCCCCCCTCCCCAAATTCCCCTGGCGGGCGGCGCTGGCGGCGAGGGCGGGGCGGGTTGGAGTCCAGCTGGGGAGCTCTGGGGGCTGTGGGACAGCCTGGCAACTGGGGAGTCATCAGTATGCTGCGCGCGGATTGGCTCAGTTATTTGAGTGCCTTCTCTGATTGGCTGAGGAGAAGGACCGGGAGAGATCCCGCCCCGAGCACCGGCAGGGGCACAACAGACCCAGCCTGGGCACAGGAAGGGAATTTATTACCAATCAAATCACAGCAGGACACGGACAAGAAATCTCTCTAACACCTTCTCTAAACCCAATAGGGGTCACCTGGAACAGGAATCCCCAGGGCTCTGCCCAACAGGGATCCCTGGGGATCATCCAACATGGATCCTTCCATGGGGGATGGAGCTGGAGCAGCGCACGAAGCTCTTCCCACACTCGGGGCACTCGCAGGGCTTCCCTTATGGGTGGTTCTGTTGGGTCAAGTGAGCTCTGGGTGAATGTCTTCCCACACTCAGGACACTCATAGGGCCTCTCCCCATTGTGTGGATGTATTGGCGGGTGATAAGCTTTGAGCTCTGGCCAAAGCTCTCCCCACACTCGTAGGGCCATTTCCAAGTGTGGATCTTGTAGTCCTTGATGAGGTGGGAGCTCTTGTGGAAGCTCTGCCTGAATTGTAAGAACTTGTGGGGCTGTTCCCTGAGGTGGATCCTATGATGGGTGACCAGCACAGACTTCCATATAAAGCTCTTCCCACATTCCAAGCATCGACAGGGATGTTCCTCAGGTTGGATATCCTGATGCTGGATCAGGTGGGAGCTCTGGCTGGAGCTCATTCCACATTCCAACTACTTGTAGGGTGTCTCAATTTGAGAGACAATTTAAAAGAGGACACTCTGGAGTGAGTGCCGTCTGCTCTACAGGGTTCCACTAATCCTTTTCTACCAATAGGAAATGAATATTAATAGATGAAAGTGGAAAAAGATGCCAGTAGTTTATTAACAAACAGAATGCTCACAAGGCAAGGAAATAAAAAGTAAATAACTGGTAGATACTAAATTGTCAGACCTTACCCTCCACACACACCCTGGGACAAAAGACCCAAAATGCCAGAGAAATCCTTGCTCACAACACAGGATACAGGACCAGCTCTGGCTTCTCCCTCAGGGGAAAAAACAGCCAGGGGCTATCACGAAGGAGATGAAAGCCCGGGACTCACCTGGTGTTGAATTCCTCCCCAGTTGGGCTCCAGGGAGGTCCCAGCAGGCGAAGCAGCGGGGCTGAAGCCTCGGGGTATTTCCTCTCCTGGCTCGGCCCAGCTCGCTGTGGCTTTGGGCTGCAGTGGTGCCACTCCGCTCCTGCCGGCATGGAGCCCCCGGGCTCCCAAAAAGCAGCTGCTCAGTTCGCCTTCAGGCACCCCAGGGCTCGCCACTGCAGCCTCTCTGAACCAAGAAAAGGGAAAGAATCCTTTGTTAGTCTGGGCCAAACAAGCTTTTCAGCCAAACAGAAAACCACGGTGGTCAGAGAGAGCTGCAGAAAACCTGAGCAACGAGGCTTCAAAATGCCTGCGCAGCGAACAAGGATCCTCTCACTGCCCTGGCCCCCCACATATCCTGTCCCAGGCTCCCCAGAGAGAACCATTCTCTGGACACAAAGCTGAGGATCCTGGAATGTACCATCACAATAACTCACTCCAAGAGAATTGTATATACAATAATCACATGTATCTATCTATCTATCTATCTATCTATCTATCTATCTATCTAAAAAGCATGTCCTGAACTCTGAATACAGCAATGTGCATGTAGGACAGGAGTGGAGAGGCTGAACAGACACCAGGGGAGATGTGGAATGTACAGACAGAGCAACCCCTCCAAGGGCTTTAACCTGATTCTCAGCTTTTCCATGTTTCAAGGTCTTTGACTGCTGCATTTGAAATTACTGAGATCTCACTGTAAAAAGCAGAGCAGCCTAGAACCAAACACGGCTGTTGAAGTCAAAGTCTTGACTTGGCACATTTCAGGTTTGAAAATATTTTGAATAAAAATGTCCATTACCAACAATTTTCCCAGCCCATCCATCACCACAAATAACAAAAAACAATGGAATTCCTTTTAAACGGGAAAAAAACCAAAACATAAAATGAACATTGAAAATTCCTCCTCATAAAGACTCACATTGAGAAAATACAGAATAATGAAGTGTGTCTAGAAAAATCTGCTGTCATTTCTCAGGTATTTAGCTCAGTGTCAGTTCAGAGCCAGGCTCTGTCTCCCAGGTGCCCAAGTCCCCGGGCCAGCTCTGAGCAGCCTCTCCCAGCTTTCCAGCGCGGCTTTGCCCCGGCTCTGCCCCGGGCAGGCACTCGGTGTTTCCCCACAGGTGGTGCCCTTGCCCTGCTCAGCTCCCTGTGCCCTGCAAAGGCACGGAGGCTGCACTCGGTGCCCCTGGGTGCCACTGACCAAGGCAGGGATGAGCCCTGAGGCACAGGCAGAGCCCTGAGGGACACCCCCTGTCCCCGGGCTCCTGCGGGACACGGAGCCACTGCTCACAAGGCCCTGGCACGTCTGGGTGGTCAATTCCTCCTGCCCTGAACAGCCCGGGCTGCAGCCCCAGGGCAAGGAGAAAAGGGACTCAGCTTAAAAGCTTAACAATACTGAGCAGCGCTTTAACTTCTACCTTAATTTATAACTTAACTTATACCTTAAGCCTAGCAATTCAACAGAGGAACATCACTGAGCATACACCTAATTTAACTTATAACTTAATCTTAACAATTCAACAGAGGAATAATACTTAACAGCATTTAACCTAACTTACAGAGTGATACTTAGCAACTTAACAGAAAAACAATACTTTGTGACAGTTTACTTAGCTTATAAGTTACATTTAACATCTTAGCAAGAGAACAACCCTTAGAAGCATTTAAGTAAGTTCATAATTATAACTGACCCTTGCTTACAGGCTTAATTTAGCTATCCAATGTACTTACACATCTAAGAAAGCAGTATTCTCCCAGATCTGAGTGAAGGATGGGAGTGATGGTATCAGCCCAGGACAGATTGTTTTTTGGTGATCTTGCAGGCATAGCAAACCCCAGGGTTTGCTGGCTCTGAGAGGTCCCCTCAGAGGGAGATTGCTGGTCACAGCCTGTGGTGGCCCAGGAGAACTCAAAGGGTCTCCTTTTGGACTGCTATTGATTGGGTCACAAGAGAGCCGGCTTCAGTCACAGCAATGTTTCATCCTGGCCACAGTCTGGATCAGCATATTCTCTAAAAGTGTGAGGACAGGAATACTGTGCCATTCAGGCAAAAGGAATATTTTCCAAGTTTAGACAAAAGGAAAACAGAAGCCTTTCAGCAATTCCTGGGAACAGACTGTATTTCTGATAAGCTGGAAAAAGCTGAGTCCAGGTGCTGTTCCCAAGTACAGGGCCTAACAAGCATTTCTCAGATCACACTGCAGCCTGGAAAGGAGGAGGGGGGAATGCACCACTGGCATCTCAGGGGTGCCCATGGCCTGGGTGATGCTGGCCTGATGCCAGGAACACTCCAAAGCCACTCTATCTCAGCTGCACAGGGGTGAGAAAATTTAACTAAGACCTCTTTGGTTGGGATAAGACTGGAAGATACCCCCAGTCAAACACTGGCATGGGCACAACAGATCCAGCCTGGGCATAGGAAGGGAATTTATTATCAACCAAATCACACCAGGGCAAGGAGAAGGGAAAGAAATTTCTCCAACACCTTCCCCACACCTAACATTGATCATATGTAACAGGGGTCACCAGGGCTCTGCCCAACAGGGGTCACTGGGGACCATCCAGTGGGGATCCTCCCTTGGTGATGGAGTTGGAGCAGTGCATGAACCTCTTCCCACAATCAGGACAGTCCTAGGCTCTCCCTGGTGTGGATGTGTGTGGAGGAGGCACAGTTCTCCGACAGGCATCCTCTCTGGAGATCAATCCCCTAAGATAAGATTAAACTGCCTAGTCAGTGTGACTAAGCTGTGGATTCCTTCCTGCCTCAGGACCCCATTATCTCCCTGTTAACTATTGGTCACCTTATCCTCTCCCAGACCATTGGTTCCCTTCCCAATCCTCCCCTTCCCTATAAAAACCCCAGCTTTTGCCCAGGTTGGGGGTTAGACCATCACTGCCCCCCTTCACTGAAGCCTGCATTAAAGACTCTGAGGAATGTTATATGGTCTTCCTGTCTCTTGTCTGCGTCGGCTGGAGAAACCCCAAAAGGAGCTGTCTGGGCTGAACAGAGCTGATCACAGAGCAGAAAACACTGCTAAAAGAGCTGATCACTTAAGGCCCTTGCCAGTGCTCCAAGGGTTACCCCTGGCTGGAGATTGCCTGCAGAACCCTGGATGGCAGCTCTGTCCCCTGGGACAGCCTGACTATCTGGGCTTGTTGACAGAAGAAGCCAGCAGAAACCAGGGGTTGGACAAGCCCCCAGGACCCAGCCTGCAACAGATGCTCTGATGGGTGATGATCTCGGAATTCCACCTGAGGGTCTTCCCACATTCCCCCTCTCATAGGGCCATTCCCCAGTGTGGATGTTCTTGATGTTACCTCAGGTGGGAGCTGTAGCTGAAGCTCTTCCCACATTCTAAGCACTTGTGGGGCTTTTTTCCTCCTCCACCCAGCTGTGGTTTTGGAATGACAAATGTTGGTTTGAGGAAAAACAAGGGGGCAGTTCCTTGGTCTGGGTGCTCTTCCTGCCTAAATCCATCTCTAGAACATAGCAGGTGTCTTGCGTCCCTGAAAATCTCCAAAATTTCAAGATTTGGCCCAAAGAACTCTTCCAGGTGTTCTCCATCTCTGATCTCTCCACTTTGGGGTTCCAGAGGTTTCCCTTTCCTAGAATGATTGGGGTCTCACGGCTCCAGGCATTCCCCTCTCTCTGGAGAGAACAGGCTTAGGAATGGTTAGAGATGATCTAGGTGTTTTTGTGGGTCCATGGGGTCCCTTCT